GACACAACCTCAATACAAGTCCTACTCATGCAACCTCTGAACAACCGCCTTCAGTCGATGCCATGGAGAAGCTAACCAGCTTCATCAAAAATGAAATCCAGAAATTAAGCATATCTATTTGTAAGTTTTTTAAAAGAAATTCTTACTGACCTCACAAAAGAAAACAAGAAAGAAAAGGAATTACTGATTGTTGTCCTGACGTTGCGAGTTTTGACTTTAGAAAACCTTTAATTTATTTCTGTTCCTCTTATTTTAGGGTAAGGTTTAATGGAGTAATAATTATAAGTTGTTTATTCACTTGCAGGAAACTCACGTGATCCGATTGCTCGGACTCTCATGTCTCTTCACGCTCATACTAAAAAGTGCCAGACATTCTACGTGTGCTGGCGTCGGTTCAAACCTATTCTGCTAACGTACCTCGAAAACTCAATTTTTTTGCCCCTGAATCACGCTTGCCTGCCACCAAGCTCTGTTGCACTACTGACCCGACCATCGAATGTGAAGATAACGATTTAAAGAGATACTGGTTCAGGAGGAAAGGTTTTAGGCGCGTTTTTAATTGCTTTTCCAGACCCTATAATTCGCCTGTTAATCTACAAGTTGATTTTGATACATATGAGGCCACTGTACCACAGGTATTCAAATTTGCTGACTTGTTGCAAGACGAAAGACTTTTCGACGAGTCCTCTATAACTCGGATGAATCAAGTTCACGAGAAAAATTATCATCGTCAGAAGAGTCTAAGGAAAATTAATAAAACATCCAGTGATGTAGACATAGTAATCAATTTCTCTTGATGCATTTTTGAGAACTTTCGTCTCGAATTGTGATCACATCAGACATTGAAACTACTTCCTATACTATGTACACCATTAATAAAGCTTGGGCGCCCAATTCTCCACAGACTGCCGTGATCGCTGCCATACCAATAGAGTAGACGAAACATTTATCCCGACACTCCTGAATCATTCAGCCCAACGTGCACCGACGACTGGATCATACCGCATCCTAGGTTCTTCCTTTCCCCCAACTTCGTCCCCTACTGAATCTTCCTTTGTCGCCACGACTGCGCGGCCGAATTGTTCTACTATGCTAAATGCAGAAGGCGTGGTAACAATTTTCTCAACCCAGTTGTTGATGAGTGGTGCATTGAAAAAATGAGTGGTGTAAATCGTAAAGTAAGGCATACGGTAACGCATAGAGTTACGCATTGAAAATGAGTGGTTTAACGGGTAAAATAACGCATACAGTAATGCATTGAAAATGAGTGGTTTAACGGGTGAAGTAACGCATAGAGTAACGCAAACCGTAACGCTTAAAGTAACGCAATGAAAATGAGTAGTGATTACTGATCTACACTACTGTATGAATTGATTTTGATCCACTCATGCCGATTAACTGGTCTGAGTTTTATGAAGCTCAAGAATTCATAACAAGAAATGAAAAAAATCAAAGCATGTCCGTTCATGGGGTCATGCTATGCAAGTGCCCATCTTTTGTTTACGGAAAAAACCAATCGTATAAACTTTTCAGGTTCGTAGCGTAATATGGAGGCATGTTTATAAATGAAGATTTTTCGTCGGTAGATATTGGTATAGAATAGAATATAGAATAGAAGTGTCGGCGTTGAAGAAATAGGCCCATGGAATATTGGTTTGATCAGTACTTTCGCGATAGTCAATCTTCCTGCTTCATTATCCTGCACAAGACGTAACAAAAAAATTCATTGTTTTAATTTAAAAGCTTTCAAATTTTTATCAACGGTTCGGGAAGTGTCATAATGTCGCGATCGAACAATTAATAAGGTTGTTTATGAAGGTAATCATTGATAAGTGTTGATAGAGATAAAATCCTGAAGATGATACCAGGTTTTCTAGAGAAGTCAATCCAAGAAAGTATTTCCTGATGACAGCGCATTCACATGTGGAGCAATAAACAATGATCAGGAAACAAGAAGTAGGAAAATAAAATTAAATTTAAAATTAATTAAACCTTTAATGGAATTCTGAATATTAAAAGATTGAATAGAGTTGTAGAAAGACGTTCAGACGTTACGAGCAAGATAGTTTATCACGCGATAATAAATGAGAGGAACATTCCACGCACAATGCGCACTGAAGTGCGTGATGCGTTGTGACCGAAATGTTAAATGTTAATTTTCAGATATATAAATAAAATGTTATACATAATACTTCGAATATTGGTCATAAATGCAAATATACACAAAGGAAATACTGAAAATTATTGAATTTTTTTTTCATTAATACGAGCAAGCCTGACGCCGTTGTCGCTCAAAACGAACGATAATTTATCGCGAGTAGCCATTTGTTAGACATTTTCTATGAGCACTCGACATTATCCCCCGCGGAAGGTGCCTTAAACTCATTGCAGCGGAATTCATCACTGTGCTTGATAGTGATTCGAGTTGATAATTTGACAACTTCAAGATTCAAGTTGATAATTTGACAACACGTTTCTAAGTCCTGATTTTCAGATATGCAAGGCAAACAAAGAGCGATATATATAGTTAAGTGAGAATACCGGACAATAAATAGACTAGAACAGATAAGCTGTAGTATTCCTTCCCTCGTGTTGCATCCACGCGTCTGACAACATTATTTAGCAGTAATATTAATGTTGTTAAAAGTATCATCACAGCCAATTTCCCAACTACGAGTGCTTTGTTTTGCCCTTAAATGCACGCATTTAATTTACCTGACCACCCCTTGTTGCTCATGTTCACCGCGCCCCACATCAGCCGATGTAACACGTTTCGTTCTCGTTTGACTTGATATTTATCGGACTTCGTACAAAGAGTAGGACTTCTTCAGGCAAGAAACCTGATTACCTTAGCATTAGTGGGCAAAATTTGGCTGCATCATTTATTATACACAACAGGTTATGGTTAAGAGAATCACTCATAATAGCATTGCGATGTAAGACTTGCCTATTTAATCGTAATGCAGTCTAACGGTACACGTACAACTTACCGGTATTGAACGTGTTATAATTAAGTACGTTGAAGAATATGTTATGAACACGTACGTTTAGGACTGCGTAGTGAACGTTTTTTTTAAATGCTCTACCATTTTATAACCAGCGTGTGATGCGAAGACGTCATAGTTAATCCGTTCTCTCCCATTACATAATCAGCGTGTGAAGCGAAAGAACCATAGTTAATCCGTTCTCTACCATTACATAATCAGCGTGTGAAGCGAAGAAACCATAGTTAATCCGTTCGCTACCATTACATAATCAGCGTGTGAAGCGAAGAAACCATAGTTCTCAGTCAGCCTCATGATGGAGCCAATTTGGCACTTCACACCCTAAAAAATTGATGATGACAGCTGGCATTATTTTGTGCGGTGCAAAGAGTCCACGCAATATCTTTTAACAACTGCATTTCCTATTGACGGAGGGAATGCAGTTTTCAGGCACATAATATAACACAGGAGTCGCCCTGCATTACGTCAGCGTTTACAATGAAGTTGTTGAACCCTTTATGACGCTCTACATAACTGACGTCATCTACAACGGAGTTAAAGCCAGCCATTAAGTATAACATATCCAAGAGTACCAAGTCGTCGTTAATTGTTTTTATCAATGCCTATTTTACTTTGTTATAAATCACAGCTGTTGAATTTCGCATATATCTTATTTTATCTTTTAGGTTTGTCTGTACGAAAATTAAAGATTTATAATGCTGGATAAAATTAAAAACAACTGGATATTTTTTCGTCTCAAAAAGTATTATTCTAGTATTTTTTACGCTAAAAATATATGACAATAGAATAATTGTGAATCCACTTGAAAAACAGCCCATGGTGGAAAATTTGTTAGCTTGCAGGCGACTATATGAAGTTTTATTGGCAGCGGCATTCCTTGAAGCCGACGTCCTTGTCAACAAGGCGAGGACTTCACACCGCCGATCTGAAACGGTGACTGAAATATTGCATTGCTACTGAACCTGCAGTAAAGATGGCTGACATCGGGGTCTATATAACTCACCGAGTGAAGTCTGGGTCTATATAATGCACCACGAGCCACCACCGCAACATTCAAGCAAAATTGAACTCCTGAGAGCCACGTAGAACCTTGATGTTAAGGGGAGCGTCTAGGGTAAAATTTATCTCGGCTATTCACTGACGGATCACTCTGAAACTTGGTACACATATGTAAAATAGAATTCTAAGACATTTTTGTTCGTGTGAATTTTTCGAAAAAAATGAAAGAAAACGTGATATTCTTAGAAAACGGCCAAAAAAGAGAGTACTGTAGAATTCTATCTCCTCCTAGGATTTTCAAGCTACAACATCGAGACACATATCATTCAATGCGTAAAGACCATATCTACAAACGTCACTTAGCGGTTTTTTGGATTTCTCATTTTTGTGGGTGTGGGAGCATTTTTTCTGATATTTTTCGAAATTTTTAGATTTTACCCCCGCCCTCCCCCACTTTTTGCAAAATAAAATCCGAACTATAACGAAATTGGAAAAACGACAAAGTGACGTTTGTAGATCTTTCATTTTCTAATCCAATGGTATATGTCTCATTGTTGTAGCTTAAAAACTCTAGGAGGAGATAGGTTTGCAGTGACAATAAGTTAACTTTTCAGTAGAGCCCGTCAAAGTCCCGCGCGCATCGAAATAGGCACTCAATGTAGCAAGGATTCAAAACTAAACGTTACTGGAGCTTGATTCCAGTCAAGGATGGTGGGAGCGACTGCATGCACACTTCCTCATACGACGCCAGGCGGATAACTAAGGTGCACTTCAAGCAGACACTCTATTTAAAGTGCTCGCAGCGAATTTCCTCCCATTCTATTTGTTAAAGAACTACCCCAGTCCCCTCCCTTTCATGATCTGACGTGAACGCATAAATCAACGTACAGAGATGGTTTTGGTACCGTTGGATAGGTCAGAATGTCAGCTTTAAGATGAGACTAAAAACCGGAAAAGCCGAAATCCAAAATTTTACCCTAGACGCTCCCCTTAATTTGGAAAGCTTGCGGTACGAGGTATAGATCATGAAGACATTTGTGCTACTCTCCATCTTCGCAGCTGTGGCAGCTGCTCGAGGTAATTCAGATATTCATAAAAAATTGTACAGCCAAGTGATAAATTATCATAGTGTTCGATTCTTCGAATATTTCTTTTATTTTGCATCTGGTGCAGTATTTGCTCAATGCAGATTCAGTACCATGCTTCACATCTCCTAACAGATGGAATTTTTTCAGCGAGGTAATTTTAATTTCGTATTATCTTCTTACTCAACGTTATCTGTCTGATTGCTGTTCGCGTTAACCGTCAACAGAGTTCAACTACACTGAAGACGTTTCAACTACTCCTAGACCAATTTATGAGACCACCGTCCCATCTATCCCACACGGCGAGACCAACGAAACAATTTCCACCGAAGCACCAGAATGCCGCCCGCTTTGCACCGACTGGATCCTGCCTCATCCCAGGGACTGCACCAAGTTCTTCCTTTGTTCTAACCTCGTCCCGTACGAAATGAACTGCCCTGCCAAACTGCACTACTCAGAGGGACGTAGGAGGTGTGACTACCCTGCCGAGGCGGGGTGCACTGCACACCCCACAGCATCTTGTGACAACTCCGACTCTCCACCCGCTTGATGACCGATCATCGTTACCGGTCAAAACTTTTCATACACGCAGAATTGGTCTTTAAAGAACATTGTTTCATTTGAGCTGTCATTATGTTCTATACTTGTTATTTTCAAAACTAAAGTCATTGATCTTTACTCTTTTTCATCGCTTTGGTAGTTCTTTTCTAACTTGAGCTCTCGTAACTGCTTTCGATAAGGATCTAGCTACTGTAACCGGTGCCGTTCACTTTTCTATAGCTCCGTACACATTAAACATGCAGACACATGTAATGAAAAATTTTCCCACATTTTATTTACGTTATTCACGTATATCCTCACTGGTTGGTCTTTAATAACTAGTGGTAAAAACTCTACCCCTACATTCTCAAGAAGACCAATCGGTAAGCATTTCTTATTTCATAAAATGAATGCAATAAAAAAGTACAATTCTCCCTTAAATGAGAGTAAAGATTATTTCTATTTAAATTCTTGGCTCCTCTCGAAAAGATGCGATATATTTTCATTATTTCTGATCCGATGTTAGTGAAGCCACTATAGTTGGGAACTTGGGATACTCCGAGTAAATTGTCTCTATGATATGTTTTCTGGCTGCCATTTTTTTGGAATTGTTCTTTTTCAGAGAAGTGAAGTTAATAAATTTAAAACAATCTCCTGATAATGTGAAGGCAATCTCTTGATAATTTTATTTTCAAATAAATTTACTATTTTAATTACGCATTTCCATGGACCTAGACTCATTGAAGAGATGCAGATTTTGCAACTCGACTATCAGAATTCAAACAAATAAAATACTTAAAAAAACCTTTTTAAAAAACCACGTTTTTATTGTGGACTAAAAAGTAGAAAATAAATTATGGCTCGCCCCAAAAAAACGTGTGCCGGGCAGATTTATCATTAAAGCGAAAAGCACACAACACTCGAATTTTGGAAATTTGATGGTGAACGTACAGCCCGACCCACGTTTTTTGGGGGGAGCCATAATTTATTTTCTACTTTCTAGTCCACAAGAAAAACGTGGTTTTTTAAAAAGTTTTTTTTTTTAATATTTTATTTTCTCCTTTTTAGTCCGTTGCTACACATGAAAAACGTTGCTGCGAGCCAATTTACTTGACTTGACGTACGTATCGATGATACGCAGCGTATCATCGATATACGCAGTCTAAACACGAATATTCTCTCGAGGATGACGTGCATTAAAGGTTCCCAACCCCTGCTTGTGAGTTCCTTTAGAGTTTATAACTACTGCACAAAGGTCAGCCATCCTATATAATATTCATTTTATTTCAGTTGGCCACGCAAATGCACGAAAGAAAATTGTGGGCCAAGTTCTGTAGAAAATTTTATTCGAGGGGATACATTGTTCCCGTATTTATCTGGGTGCGTGGCTGTAATAAAGAAAGGTTCGGTAATGAAAGACATTAAAATACGATAAAAGAAGCAATGAATGAACGGCGCTAAGCGATAGTAATATTAGTTAGGCAAGCGGGTCCTGAAATGGTCTTGTATTTAAGCCAGGCTTTGCTCGCCATCACAACAGCGGCGCACCGCGTCACCGCGGCAGCAGCGTCCACAATTTCTCGGTCGACATTTCATTGAATAAATACGCCTGAAACGTGCAACAAATTATTGATTATTGTATTGTCATCGGGAGCTGAGCTTCCCTAAAAGTTTCAGAGCGCTAGCGGGAAAGTTGGTGAAATATCGATTGCAAGATATGATCATCACAAACAGACAGACAGACGGACACGAAAGCGAGCTAAGAAAAACGTGGTAAAATAATACGAACTTCAATGAAACTGAAAACAAACAATTTCCATGTTTTTTAAAACTTATGGAAAAACATCAGCACATTAGACAAGTTTTATTAAATTTCAGCGTCAGAGATTCGGCAGTTCAGAGCGCAGGTTAGCAAACGCCCTACAATTCCACCAAATTCACAAAAACAAAAATTCTCTAAAATGCAAATTTCGCCCAATATGCTCGAAAACATGGAAGTAATTCATTGTATAGGAGCGATCAAATAGTGATGAAAAATACAGAACGTATAGTTGCTTCTATCGTCATGTCAAGACTAACGCTTTCTTTATTGCTCTTTTCAAAGCGCTGCCTAAATTTGCTTGGAGTTAATAGTAACTTGGATCAAAAAGATCCTGCTCTAACAGCTAATGTGAAAAATCTCTTAAGCAGACATACGGCTCCCAATCATCGAACGAAAATGAGAACAACCATGCCAGTAGCTCACCTGGAACGTTATGTAACTTGAGCTAAATAACTATAAAAATTAAACCTACGAGTACCGAATAAGAAACCAATCCCAGTACAGATGAAGATAGTTTTTAAGTGATACGATGATTTTCGACGCATTTAATGCCCTTAGGGAACCAGTACGTCTGGCGAATTTTTTTGAGTCAGTATAAACAAATTTACTCCACATACAAGGTAAGATCTCCAGTAGAAGGCATAGTGTAGACACTGAAGGAATGGAACTGACGGAGGATGTTCATAAATCTGACCAAAAACTGATGAGAAAACTAACATATGTAAAGGGAGATTTCTTATATAAATGTAAGATTGTTGACGCTCCGAGTCCGAGGATGAACGCGTTCAAGAACAGACTAGACAAGGCCATGCAGGAGCATATGTTTAGTCCTAAAATGCCTCGTATCCTACGGAACAACTGAAATCTAGAAGCGATTTTAAATCTGCAGTCCGTTGAAAAGATTTGATCAAAATGCCAGCCTAGTCAAGAAAAGTACAAGAATCGGCGACAGGCCTATATTCTTCAATGCCGAAGATACTATACCAGACTGTACTTCTGTATCTGGAAGCTTACAGGACAGCTTGTAATTTTTGCACCATTTCAATTGTGTCAAGTGAATTCACTATAACAGGAAAAATATTGTAAAAAAACATCAGAAACAGAAAGGAATCTTTTAGTGATAACCTCTTATTTTTTCATCATATTTTTGGAGATATAAATCATAGTTTAGTATATTTACTTTTCATTCTATCTTGCCCGGTGCGGTGTACAATTCTGTCTGATCTTCTATGCACAACTTTCTGATGCCCGATGATGCATCAATTTTTTTCACTGAGAAAAGTAAATGTAATCAAAATTTTTATTTATTAATTGACTTTTTAATTTACTGGAGCCTTTACTAATCAAGGTTCTACTGAAAATGTGTTTTAAGTGGTATTCCTTATTAACCCAGGGAGGTGTCCCTTTTTCTTGGAATGAGATTCACAAATTCTGTCAATCACATTTGTAAGCCAACACCTTTGCCATTACAATCTTTTATGTAAGCAAAACTTTTTAAAACTGCAAATATCTTTTTGCTACAGACCTTAGCAGAGGTACTTTTCAAAAATCTCACTTGTCACACTTTTTTCATGAATATTATTTTAGAGTTAGTAAATGTACCTACGATTTCTCAACTTACTTTATGCTACAATGTATTCATTGCCTCAAAAACCTCATTGTATAATTGTGGCACATTTCAGATCACTGTACTGGAGGCGGGGCAGCCAAAATCATATAAATTCGACTTCGTATTTGATGCTGAGGCATCGCAAGAAGAAGTTTATTCGACAGCCATTTCGAAGATTGCAAGGGAGTTCCACAATGGTAAGCTATCTTTTAATCCATTTATGTTATTGTATGCATTTAGATACCTACAACATAGGCCTCCAACGAACTTTATTGGCTTAAATAGCCCCGTTCTGATATTGTTATCTAATTTCCTAATTCTGTGTGTCTCCAGGATTAAATATTGCCATTTTGTCTTACTCGTATTATTTATTTTCAAAATTTGTATAAATCTTCAGAATTTGTCACTATTTTGGTGCCAAAATTTTTATCTAATTGGATAATTAAATGATTTCCAGGATACAATGTGGCAGTCATTGCATACGGCGCGTCTAACACCGGCAAGACCCACACCATGGGTGTGGGAGGCTTGCCCAAAAATGCCATTGAGAGGGGCATTCTCCCCAGAGCATTAACTGATATGTTCCAAGTACTGGCTGAGCGGGAGCAAGCATATGAAATAAAATGCTCATTTGTAGAAGTCGTTCATTGATTATAATATTTTCATTAGTCTGTGTTTTTGCAGAGATTTAGTTTTACTAGAGATTGTGACCCAAACGTGTGCGGCAAATTTACGCTCGTTGATTTGGCTGGGAGAGAGAATGCCAAGAAAGCCTGCACGACTGGACAGCGCTTCAAAGAAGGCATAGACACTCGACTCATCGACGAACGCGCCAAGCTCAAGCAACACGTGCCCTTTAGAAATTCAAAGCTGACGAGGCTACAGCAAGATCAGATTTGACTTTTTTGAATAATGGAATGCATGTTGCAGTGTAGCTAATTATCATTTTTTACGATATATTATTCCCCATTGTTAAGTTATAAGCAGATTTCCTGGAGCTTCCATATCAAATATATTGTTGCGCATGCTGCCAAGTGTTCTTCACTACACATTTTACTTCTGCAAATTCGCCAGGAGAGTGGTCACACACCCTGATCATCTGCTGCGTTTCTTCAGGGCAGTCCTCCCTGGAGGAGACCAAGCGCACCCTGGAGTTCGCAGCAGTGTGCCGGATGGTCAACTTGTGATTATCCGCCGGAAATTTAAGTATGGTGCCGGAGATCCCCGTTATGGACGATCAACGTGGGCAGGAGGTGGAGGAGGCGCAGGAGGTGGAGGGGGCGCCGCAGCTCCTTCAGCTACCCGTTGTTGAGGGTGGTAAACGGAAGTTCCCCCGTAACCACCCGGAGAGTAATGCAAATTATAAAGTAATACGTGTATGTGACTTGTGTAACTATGACGAGTCACTTACAAAATTGTGATAAACATATATATAAATAAACATATAGCCTTCGAGTACCTGAAGTAGTGAGCGCTAAGCTGCCGATGGTTGTCTTCGCAGGCTTCCAGAAGCCAGAACCAGCGCGGCTGGTGAAGGCCTAAGTATAAATTTGGGGCTGCTGAGTCGTTAGGCGGACTCGCCAATTCTGAACAGCTCATCCCCTACCGTGACTCCAAACAATATACAATGTGGGCTGTGATTTCCAGGATACAATGTGGGCTGTGGCAGTCATTGCTTACGGCGCATCTAACACCGGCAAGACCCACACCATGGGTGTGGGAGGCTTGCCCAAAAATGCCTGAGACGGGCATTCTATCCAGAGCATTAACCGATATGTTCGTAGGACAGTCACTAGGACTGGCTGAGCGGGAGCAAGCATATGAAATAAAATGCTCATTTGTTGAAATAAGTTGTTCAT